GAGGAGATTTTCGTCAAATTTTTCCAGTTTAAAAAATATTGATTAAACTATCATAGTACAAAGAATTGTTCAATTTTTATTTTTAAGATTTCATTCACAATTTCAAAATTACATTTTAATACTTGTTCTAATAATATAGGATTTTTAAAATTACCACGAAAAATTGGGAGTGAAGCAATGAAAACTTTCAATATCTCGAAAGAAAATAGATATCAAATAATGCCTGTTCTAACATATTTTGTGAATAGCTGTTCGGTAAATAATGTTACACTTACATCACATCATGAGTATACCAGTTTTTTTAATGATAAAATTCTCAAAAAATTAACTGGATAAATTAAAATCTATTACAGCATAGATCACGCAACGTACAAAGGGGTGAATAAATCAGACAATAATATTTATATTTATTTCCCTACAGAATATTTGAATAGTATTAAAGAAGGTCTTCCTCCACACGAATTAAATTTAAAAATTAACGCTATTGTTATGTTAATACGAAACTTAAACATATCTGAAGGACTTTGCAATGGTACAAGATTACGAATTACAAAATTACTTATATACAACATCAAAGCTGAAATAAAATCACAGGTCAAAAAAAAGGAAATAAAGTCTTTATTCCAAGAATAACACTAAATACAAACAATTCTTCTTCGCTACCATTTATATTGTACAGAAAACAAATTCCATTTACCTTAGCTTTTTCTATGACTATGAATAAATCTCACTCGGTCAAAAATTATTAGCTATTATTTTAACTATAAATTATAGCTGTATTTACAGCTATAATCAGCTACAATAATAGCTATATAATTGACTACAAAGTAGCTATAATCATGTGTACAAATAACAACTATAAAAAGTAGCTGTTTACAGCTATAAATTTCTTGCAAATTTTAATTGACAGAATTTATTCAATAATCTTTTTTTTTGTAAGGTATTTCAGCCATATAAGGTGATATTATCCGTATAATAACACTAAAAGTGGGGAGTTCAAGTATTTTTGAATAATAAACGAAAAAAGTTTTAACACGTGTCACTTATGTGCATTACAATCAAACGAATTTCAGTGTGTAATAATATATAAATACGTAAAGAATTCTTCTCTTTCTTTATTGAGAGGACAAACTCTACCAAAATAGTATTCTTCTTTTTCAATAATTGTAGTATAAGCATCAAGTCGTATGCTAAACTTTTGCCAGTCAAAGAACCATTACCGTAAATTATAAAAACAACTTTTGTTATCATTTTTTGTCATCTTTCGAGTAGCTTGTGCTTGAAATAAAAAATGCACATGCATCATTGATTCTTTGGATTAAAATATTCATTTTGGTGTACCTGTAAGGGAATATATATTTATTCAGTTGTTGTTTTTCGTGAAAAACATATTACCTTCATTATTTTTATGAAATTATAAATAATATTGTAAACGACGATTTTGTGAATCATAAATCATGTTGCGTCAAGTAGGTAGAAAAGAACGATATAATTTCTTGTTATGCATCCTATTTACACGTAAAAGTATTATTCTATATGTACATTTACAAAGATATGATAATGCGTGTTACAACTATTACGTATACGGACTTAGATATAGCATATTGTAATAACACTGTTGTACAAAATTCTTGCATTTTATAAGCATTGTACTTATTATGTTGCAACACAATTAGATTAAATACAGTTATTTATTACGCAAGTATTATTTATTTTTCCTTTGTTACCTCTGACCACCAGTTATACACTGTATCACAATTGACTTAATAGTCAAATTCTAATTCTATCTGTATTCATTATTTCAACATACTTCAGCATCAAATATTTTGAAATTGTGTCTGATAACGTATGACTTTTTTTATATTATTGTGAATGATAAGCCTTGTGAAAAACCTGTAAGCCTATTACTTTTCAACACATCAAGTTTTTTTTTATGCTGAAATAGTAAATCATGTAGTCTGTTGAACTTACACGATAAAGAAATTAACACGTAAGGATTGCATGTTTCGTCTTTGACGCACCTTTCATTAAAATTTACTAAATAATAAAAATCTAGATTCAGTCATACTTTTTACAAATTCGACAGCGTATATTGAATTTTTTTCAGTGTCTTACACAATATAAAGAATTACAATTACGACGTTCCGTATATTTAAAGTTTCTACTAGTATTATACACGATCGGAAAAACTATTTCTTTGTTCCTTTGAAATTTTATAAATATAAAATGATGGTCTCAGTTCAAAAAGTAAACAAAAAGGCATCATGAAATTGCTCCAGTTATTCGGTGTATCCTAATTATTATACCTAATATTCATTCACGTTATATCGACCGGAGAATATTTTTTTTCCGAGCGTATGATCTATTATACCGGAATATCACAACTCTTAAAATTTACTGACTTCCACGTGGCTTATCAACTTCCATATGGTCTCCTACTTCCATATGGTTTACCTACTTCCATATGGTTTATCCATATGGATATTTGAAACAAAAGCCATATGGAAGAACCACATGGAAAATCCATATGGATTTTCCATGTGGTTTTTCCATATGGAAAATGTATATGGTTTTTTTCAATAGAGTATCGTTTTTGAGTTTGCTAAATAATAAATAACTTCATAAACTAATGTGTAATATTCGTTATTCATTTTTGCAGTTTACATCATATATAAAAAGCTTAGAGCTGACGAAAAAACACTAAAAAAACGTGTTGGGACTCATCTGTAAAATCATCACGTAACTTAATGCTTTCAATACGATAAATGAATTCTATATAAACTTATCGTATATAGCCCATACATTATTTTTGGTAAATTGTTGACGTGTCATTTGCAAAGTGGAATTTAGTATAAGTTTGGTTGTATAGGAATTATAGTCAACTCTTGTTTCTATATAACTATTTAGAAATATTTTGAGTCATAATTATATTGTCTTTATCAGTTATTTGTGTTTTAATTTGAGAATCACAATTTTATAGCATATATAGTTAACTTATCTCACTACGTAACTGTTGCATACTATAGGTAACTAATCTAATTAATGTTATACGCACTTTTCATGATCTGTACGTTGGATTATTTGTCTGTTATTTAATGTACAGTTAGCGCTTACGACAAATGAAATTTCATTGATACTTATCCGGTTTTGGCAATAAAACTTACATATAAATTCGTACGAATCGTAAAACTACAGGCAGACCCATGTCAGTCATTATTGATTGCAGTACTTTTAAAATAAATTATTTTTTATGATCGATGTGTCGTTTAGTTTAATGTACCGTCTTCTTTAGAAGATGATTTTTTTCCTCTAAATTCCCACTTTCTCTCTCAATCAAAAACCTCTCAATTCTCACTTTTTTCATTTGACTGTAAATGCCCCAAAACGCGCGCATTATTTTGATGGACAAAAAAAATGTTTCCGTCGGAACTTGTATTTTGTCACACTGATGGGACTTAAGGTAGTTGTATCCCATGATATTGTCAATGCAGCAGATTCTATAGTTTGGTATGTTATCTATCCCTCTCACACTTGTGCTAAAATATAACCTTTAGCAGCTTTTTCTGCACTTATTAATTTATTTCTTATCTCACAGATACCCTCGAGATGTTTCATAAAATTAAATAAGATCATTAGCCATATTTTTGAAATACACAAAAAAATATCGTCAAAATTTTACCAATATTTTGTGGGATATACGCAATTAAAGCCCAGAAAAATACATTTCTCCGTAAGGATCCATGTTTAAGTATGAAAACAGTGAATATCAAAACTTTGCTTTCTAGGAACCCTAGCCTCACAAAAATTTAACCGAATTCTTAGTAGGAAATAATTTAGCTGTGTGGTAAAGTTCAAGAAGATTTCATCATTATTTTTGTTTGGGAAATAACTACCTTAAACTTC